ATTCGGGCAACGAGGTCTGAGGTCTTCACACTGAGGAGGGAGAGATGCCAGGGTGAGTACGGATGGCTGGAATCCAGAAGGGAGGGTTTAGAAGCGGGGAAGAGAAAATATTTCTAAAACCATGGTGGTGGGGAGGGAGAAGGGGCGAGCATTGGTTTGGGTGGAAGGGGCGGAGTTTCAGAGAAGGAGGGAAGAGAGGAAGAGAGGTGGGGGGAGCCGGGATTAACTCCCGCCTGTGTCTCCAGACCCTCCCCACGAAGCCCACTGTTCCCTCGGGACAGGGCCTATAATTTGGTTTGTGTCTAGACAAATAATAACTCAGCCGGTGTGAACAGGGAGGGCCGAGGCAGGGCCGGCTAGGCGAGGGGCAGGGAGGCAGCCTGGCTCCGGGTGTCCCCCTGAGAATTTAGGGAGCAGGTAGAGGTGGTGACTACCCCCCACCCCCTGTCCCCCACCAGCCCCCGAGAATCCATAGTGTCTTAGAATTCTGCACAATCTTAGAAGGCAGGCTGCTGGAATGCGAAAGAACAGAATAGATGGGGAGAAATAGGAAGTGGGGCTCACTGTATTCAGAGTCTGTTCCCATTTCTGTAAAAAAGAAAAGGGAAATATATATATTCCTGTTTGCTGGGGAAAGATAAAAATCACCGAGAGTTTAATAATAGATTATGAAAGTCATACAATGTTAAAAAAAATCATAGGGTGTTCTAACAATAGAACTTTCGAATCTTGGAATGTGAGACTCCGAGAATATTGGAACCTTAGAAGGGTAAGCGCTAACAAAGCCACGGCGATAATAATAATAGAATGGGAGAAGAGTAAAGCTCTAGAATGTTATAATAGAACGTTAAACTGTGAACTGAACCGACGCCAGAAACCGAGGATTCGAGAACCCTGGGTATCTAGAACGTCAGAGAGGTAGACCCTGAGGATTTAGTATCCCTTCCCGGCGGTGTAGACGTGGGGGGTGGAAAGAGACCCCCCTCGGTAGAAATGGGGAAACTGAGGCCCAGTGAGGCGGTCAGGGTGGCCTGACTGCCCCCTGGTTTCCGCCTGGCTGCCAGAGCACCAGGTGGGGAGCGAGGCACGGTGATCACATTTCGTCCCTAATGAGCAGACCGGAGCTGGCCGGTCCCCTGGGGATGACAGGGGGAGGAGGAAAGCTGGAGCCCACAGAGGAAGGGGGAGGCAGCCTGATGGCTTGGGGACAAGACTGGTGAGTGGCCCGAGGGGTGGCAGGGGGCTGTGGGGGCTGTATCACTCCTCCCTCTTGTCCTCTCAACCCTCCAGGTCCTTTAGCCTTGCTGGATTTGGGGGTGGCTGGTGGGGCCCAGGGACTTATCTGGCCAGAGCAGATGAGGCCTGAAGTGGGGGCTGGGTCCACTAGTCTTTCCTGTCCACTACTGTCCCTCCGCCCTTATTTCTCTTCCCTGACCCCCTGGAAGGGGCTAGCAGCGACCCAACAGGGGGGACTGTGGGACAGGGAGCTTCTGGTGGGTCCTGAGATTTGGGGGTCCAGCCCCTCAACAGAGCCAGAGTAAGGGCCACAATTTAGATCCCCACCAAAGGGGGTCTTGACGCCGGGTGCGGTTGAAGAGTTGGGAGAGAGAACCAGGTATGGAAGTTCAATCCCTGTTTTTGTGGTGAGAAGGTCCGTATCTTCCAGCAGATGCTCAAAGGGGCCTGAGACCCCCTAGAAGGACTCGAGAAAAACCGTAGAGTGCAGGGAGCAGGGAGAAAACACATTCAGGGAAGGGGAAACTGTTCAGCTAAGGGCGACAGGAGGTCTGCCCAGTCTTGACACATCCTGTGACTTAGATGAGCATCTCGCTGGTCTGGGCCTCAGCTTCCCCATCTGTACCAGGAAGGGGTCAGGAATTGCCTTGTGTCCCCAGCTGCCGCACATAGGCCTACGGCACTGTGGTATTCTAAGAGTCTGAGGTTCCCTGCTGACTTTTGGGGGGGTTGATGCCGGGCAGATCTCAGGTGGGGGAGAAGAGGGGGTGGTCTGAGAACCCCTTCCCCAGGCCCAGCACCCCCAAGACACAGGTGGTTTGGGGAGGACAGGCAGAGGAGGGAGGGGGAGCGCCTGACTCGGTCCCCCTCGAGGAAATTAGCAATGGGAAGTGTATTTCCTCTGGCTGCCGGAAACGTCTCCAGCCTGTGTACCAGCTCCAGCCTCAGCTGAACCGTGGGGGTCGACAGAAGGTGGGGCAGAGGGGACCCAGCTCTCGGTGGCTGCCTCCCCCCATTAAGAACTGGCTCATTTCTTGTCCCAGCTCTCCAGTGCCCGTGGAATTATAAGAATTATTCAAATACCGCACGTTATATAGATGATACCACATTCTACCAAAGATTTTCATATCTGTGATGCGATTAGTTAGTATAAAGGATTGTGTTCCCTTTTACAGAAGGGGAAACTGAGGCTCCGGAAGGAGACATAATTTCCTCAATGTCACAGGAGGAAGGAGGGAGAGACAGAGGGGCAGAGAGAGGAGGAGAAAGAGGACGGAGGAGAGAGGAGAGGTGTCTTCACCTCTCAGTTGACTCTGGCTGGGAGGGACATTTCCATTTGAAGGGACGACACCAGGAGCGAGCCCCCACCCATCCTGTCTCCACGGGACCCAGAAGCCTCTGTCCACGGTGCGGCTGGGGTGGGGGCAGCGGCTCTGTCTCCGAGGACCCCACAGGGGGCAGGACTTACCGAGCAGGACTCAGCCGTGACCTTTCAAAGTCAATTACGAAGCACAGATCTGGGCTTTTCATCTCTCCTTGTCCCCTGGGTCCCTCCCACCCCGTCGGAGCCGGAGCTGGAGGTGGCGCCGCCTCACACCAAGAGTGTGTGTGTTTCTCCTCCCTGCCTCCGGCCTCTGGAAAGCTTCTGAAATGACTTCCATGTGCAGTCATTCATTGAGCGCCTACTGTATTCTGGGCCTGTCCCGGGTGCTGAGGATACAGCAGTGGACAAGGTGCACAAAGTCCCTGCCCTCCTAGAACACCATTCGAGACAGAGACAGACACAGACAGACAAGATACAAGGTGACGGGAGGACAGACTCCTGCAGGGGAGGTGGGCAGGACTTTGGGTGGAGAAGGGGTCCCTGGGGAAGTGACGGAGCTGAGTGGGCTAGTCTTAAGACGTGAAGGAAGAATGTTCCAGAAGGCGGGAACAATAAGTGCAGAGGCTTTGAGACTCGAAAGGTCACTGGCGTTGAGCCTGTCAAGGGGGAGAGCAGAGGAGGGCAGGGTGCGCTGGGCTGCCCGGACCACTCGAACGGAGCCTTTTCATCTGGGCGAGGAGTTTGGCCTTTACTGGGAGCCCGTCTGGAAGCCACTGGAGCGTTTCAAGCGGAGAAGCAGCAACAGCTGATCGCCACGTTAGAAAGCTCTTTCCGGCTGCCACGTGGGAAGTGAGTGAGTTGAAGGAAGCCACAGTGGCAGCCGGGAAAAGCGGTGACGATGCTACTGCCAAGGTCTGGGCGAGTGGCGATGGTGACGCAGAGCGGACAGTGGCAGGGGGTTCAGAGAGGCAGGCACGGACACGGGATTCACCGCGGAGGTGGAGCCGCGAGGACTTTCCCGTGGACGGAGGCTCAGGCATCTGGAAGGTTCCCAGGGGCCTGCTGTGTGACTTTGGGCTGTTCCCTTTACCCTCTCTTGGCCTCAGTTTCCTCATCCGTCCAACAGACTCAACTAGTGGTTTCCAAAGTGTGTCCTGGCCTCCCTGCCCCCGCCCTCTGCATTTCACCCAGAGCACAGGGCCGCGTCTCCTTTTCACTCTCCCAGGTTGGGTTGCCAGTTCAGATCTTGCTAAAAAGTTTCACATTGAAAAAAACTAAACACGTGCAGACCCCTCGCTGCGATGGCTCCGGAAGGTGTCTGTGACGCGGGACATTGCTGTCCTCTCTGGGGCTGGGCTCATGACTATCCTCTACCCGGTGCGTGTGGACATTTCCAGAACCGAGGAGGGCACCAGGCCCAAGGCTCTCACTCTGGAAAATTGGAGGGGAGAGGGAAGAGGCAGTGAAGGGGGTGGTCCCCGGGGGAGGGGACGGCTGGCGCTGACCCCGGGGCTTCCCCTTGCTCCCTCACCTTGAACCAGCATCTCCTGCTCTCTGTCCTTCGCTTTAGCTCTCTGTGGCTATAGCTCCCTGTCCCCGCTGTCAGCCCAGGGCCCTTTTCTGTTCGGTCATCCTCGGGTGGGAGCTGCAGCCTGGGCTGGAGAAAAGGGCTGAGGGCGGAGATTTTCCCTCTTCAGCCATCAGGACCTTGGACAGGTCTCGGAACAGCCCTGTGCCTCAGTTTGTCAAACAGGGAGAATAACCACTTTCCTCATAGGGTTATTGAAACTGCCAATGAAACAATGCCCATAAACATTCTTAGGGTTGGCTCTGCTACGTGGTAGGGCTCAAGAACTTAGGGCTCAAGGGCTTAGCTGTTATCATCATCACTGTCATGAACGGGGTGTCCTGGGTTAGGAGTGGGAGGCTGGTCCCAACCCTGTTCCCATCTCTGTGCTGTTCTGCATCTTTGAGGTGGCCCAGCCTCTCTGGGCCCCTTCTCCCTCCCTGTGAATTGATAGCGTTAGACTGGTCTGACATTTCCCGAAGCATATTTGTACATGTAGCAGTTTTATAGTTTCTGGAAGAAAGTTCTCAAATCTGAGTTGGGTCTTTATTTTAACCTATATCAGGGAAAAAATCTGGCTGGCACCTCAAATCCGTGTGAGCAGAGATCTGCTGCTTAGGATGGGACTCAGGGAGGCACTGCGGGGTGTCCACCCTCTGTGGTCCACGGGAGCGTGGGGTGAGGGGATGTAGGGATGTCTGTGACTCCCCTCACCGCTGTCCTCTCTCCCCACAGGCACTGCACGGTCAGCTGTGAACTGCGCTGTCAGGCGGGGCCGCTTCATCCCAGCCCCTCAGACCCCACCGGGACCAAGCCAAGTCCCTCCCCTGCCCCCCTCAGATTCCCCCTTCCATCCCAAACCCTGCTCTGATCTAGCCTTTACTCACCTCCTTCCTGTTTCCTAAAATCCCTTCCCACAGTCCCCAGACTGAGCCTTTCCTCTCTGTCCACCCCCCGCAGGGCACCTCCTGTTCCGTAATCACCTCCTCGGGTACTCTACTCATTTCCTTTTCTTCTACTGGTGTCCTAGGAAATGCCAGCACTCCCACCTGCATCGCCCGGTCCTTCCAACACTCCCTAACTGTAGTCTGTCCTGTCTCAACACCCTCTTGTATATTTCCTGTGCCTTCTAGAACATTCCGCTCCCCCTGCCATTACCTCCACACCTACCACACTTACCTCCTTGCTCCTCTACGAACATCTTCCTCTCACCACTGCCCGCTGGTGCCTCCATCTACGCTAGAAACACTGTCCTCGGCCAATTTTTGTGTCCCCCCCCCGCATTATTGGGTCCATAGACACCCCCTTGACAAAGCTCTTTGTTAATCCGCCACCCAAATCTCCCCGCTGTTGTCACTCTGCCCCTCCTCCAGGCTTCCCCTCTCGGGCGCTACCCTTCCCTGCCCAGCCTGCCCCTCGATTCACAGTCCGGCTCCTCTGTTCCCCGTGGGCTGCCTCCCACCATGTTCCCCTGAGCCTCCAAGGAAGGGGCTCAGGGGGCCTCATGGCCTCCCGCTCCCCGTGGCCCCACAGCCCCCGCGGGCCAGGGGAAGTGTCTAGGAAGCCCCAGTGCCGAGGATGGGCAACCGCACGTGGGAGGGCTGCCACGTGGACTCGCGTGTGGACCACCTCTTCCCACCGTCGCTCTACATCTTCGTCATCGGCGTGGGGCTGCCCACCAACTGCCTGGCCCTGTGGGCGGCCTACCGCCAGGTGCGGCAGCGCAACGAGCTGGGGGTCTACCTGATGAACCTCAGCATCGCCGACCTGCTGTACATCTGCACGCTGCCGCTGTGGGTCGACTACTTCCTGCACCACGACAACTGGATCCACGGCCCCGGCTCCTGCAAGCTCTTCGGGTTCATCTTCTACACCAACATCTACATCAGCATCGCCTTCCTGTGCTGCATCTCGGTGGACCGCTACCTGGCCGTGGCCCACCCGCTGCGCTTCGCCCGCCTGCGCCGCGTCAAGACGGCCGTGGCCATCAGCTCCGTGGTCTGGGCCACCGAGCTGGGCGCCAACTCGGCACCGCTGTTCCACGATGAGCTCTTCCGAGACCGCTACAACCACACCTTCTGCTTCGAGAAGTTCCCCATGGAGGGCTGGGTGGCCTGGATGAACCTCTACCGGGTCTTCGTGGGCTTCCTGTTCCCGTGGGCGCTCATGCTGCTGTCGTACCGCGGCATCCTGCGGGCCGTGCGGGGCAGCGTGTCCACCGAGCGCCAGGAGAAGGCCAAGATCAAGCGGCTGGCCCTCAGCCTCATCGCCATCGTGCTGGTGTGCTTCGCGCCCTACCACGTGCTGCTGCTGTCGCGCAGCGCCGTCTACCTGGGCCGCCCCTGGGACTGTGGCTTCGAGGAGCGCGTCTTCTCGGCCTACCACAGCTCGCTGGCATTCACCAGCCTCAACTGCGTGGCCGACCCCATCCTCTACTGCCTCGTCAACGAGGGCGCCCGCAGCGACGTGGCCAAGGCCCTGCACAACCTGCTCCGCTTCCTGGCCAGCGACAAGCCCCAGGAGATGGCCAACGCCTCGCTCACCCTGGAGACCCCACTCACTTCCAAGAGGAACAGCACGGCCAAAGCCTTGGCTGCTGGCTGGGCGGTGGCTCCACCCTCCCAGGGGGACCAGGTGCAGCTAAAGATGCTGCCACCGGCGCAGTGAACCCCGACTGGTGCAGAGCCCCCAATCCTCCGGTCTCGTCCCACACTCCCTTCTCTCCTGGTCTGGTGTATGCAGATTGTATGTAAATAAGGCTCTGTTAATATTCATAAGATTACAAAAACAGGAAAAGAGTGAGGTTGATGTGTCACTGGTTAGCGACCATCCTCCACCGTGACTCCCCAACAATTCAGCGCAACTGTGCCTAGCCCTGTGGTGCTGGTGACACAGCGTGAGACAGCCCTGGCCCTGCCCTCGTGGGCTCCCAGACCCCATCGCAGTCTGGAGGTCATGGAGGGCGTCCTGGAGAAGGGGATGAGTAAATTAAGTCAAATGTTTGGTTTCCAGAAGGTAAAGATAAAAACAGAAAGAGGTTAAAATTTTTCCAACAAGGGGGCAGAAGTCTGTGACTCAAGGGGAAGGTGGAAGGAGAAATTCGCTGGATCAAAGTCGTTACGTTTACCGTTGGGAAGCCCCCCGGTCATACCGGGGAGAAAGTATAAGACAGGGCAATTCTAAGGTTCTAGAAAAACAGCATTCTCCAAGTCAGGACTGAGGACGAAGAGGGAGAATGTCAGAACCCGAGTGACAGGCAATCAGGCAGACTGCCTGGAGGAGGCGCAAGTCGGGCAGGCTTGGGAAAGAGGCTCGATGGGACAAGAAGAAGGGTATTTATTCATTCATTCCACAGAGATTTATGCCTGCCACTGTGCTGGGTGGGGCTGGGGATACGGCAATGGCCAAGACAGCCCTGGCTCAGGGCTCACGATAAACAAATAAGTAAAAATAGACATAATGTTTGGAATTGCTAAATGTAAAGGGGCAAAATAAAGCCAGTTGAGGGGATAGAGGGTGACTTGGAGTCTCATCTAAATAAGTACAGGTGAGGGCTCCCTGAGGTGGCTTTCCAGCAAAGACCTCAAGGAGGCGAGGTGGTCAGCCCTGTGGCTGTCGCAGGAAGAGCATTTCGCGCGGAGGGAACAGCAGGTGTGAAGGCCCTGGGATAAGAGAGCGTCTGGATTTTGAGGGACAGCAGGTGAAGCAGTGTGGCTGGAGCGGAGGCGGGGAGGATGACAGGACTGGGAGATGAGACCGGGGAGGGCACAGAGGCAGATTGTGGGGGGCCACGCAAGGCCCACTGAGGACTTTGCCTTCTTCTCCGAGATAAATGGGGGCTTAGCAGAGGATGGATGTAATTTGACTTAAATATTAACAGGATCCTGCCGGTTGCTGAGTGAGGAAGACAAGATGGGAGATAAAGGCAGAAGCTGGGAACGCCGCGAGGCGGTGACTGCAGGAGACCAGGCAGGAGGTGCTGGAGGCCTGGCGGGGTGGGAGGTGCTGGTGGCTCGAGCATGGATCAGTGGTCAGCTGTACGGCTTATTCTGAATGAACACTTTGATGGAAGAAGCACGGGGGCCTGTGGGACTGTGTAACATAAGCCCCTTGCCCATTCTGGGAAAAGGGTGACCAGGGGGCCTGCAGAAAGAGCTTCTGGGAAGGATCCCAGGCACTAGTCCAAGAGAGGCCAAGCGACTAGTCCAAGGTCGCATGGCCAATGAGTCAGCACTGGGGCCATCCCGGGCTCCCTCTCCCCTCCCCATCTCTGCCTCTGTTCCCACGCCCCTGCGTGGCGAGGGCTGCCTGCTCTGGCTGATGGCTTCTCCTCCCTCCCCTGGCCACAGGGGTCACCAGGAATGGCCATCATTCCATAACCGGGCTGGAGGGCAGGGCACCCCGCTCTGGACAGACCTCCTCCCTCCGGGAAAGTCTCCTCCTCCCTTGTTCCTCCTTGTGTGTAAACAGACTCCTGAGATGTACAGATCCCCTTACACACACACACACACACACACACACACACACACACACACACATACACTTCAGAAGTTCCCAGAAGAGGTTCAGGGAAACCTTTCTCAGAGAAAGGAAGAGGAGGGAGGAGAGAAATGGGAAAAAATGCACTTAATGAGGAAAATGATTTCTTTGGGGGGGGTGTGTAGGAGGTGGAGGGGTGCTGAGATGCAGGAAGTCTGGGCTTTGGTGTTGGGGGCTGGAGAAGGGAGGGAGGCCTGGTACCCTGACCGACTGCTATAAAGCTGCTGGGATGGAGATGGACGGGCCAGAAACGTTTTGAACATAGTTCCCTTGGAGAATCAGATGAAAGCCTGGACACTACCCGCTCCCACCAAATGCTCATTCCCATTCATTCGATACATATTTATTGAGCACCTACTGTGTGTCAGGCATTGTTCTAAAAGTTGAGGAAATAGCAGCGGATTATACAGAAAAAAATCACGTACAAGTTTGGAAGTTTCCTAAACCCCTCATGGGGCCCCTCAACCCCACAGTAGGTCCTTGGGCTCCAGGCTAACACCCTTAAGTATCAGGAGAAGGCCCTGGCCTGGGACTCAAGAAATCCCAGCCTCAGCTCCACCCTAATTACCTCTGGAACTTTGGGCAAATCCTTTTCATCCTGTGGCCTCACTTGGCCTGTCTGTAAAATGGGAAGAGGATTGGTCCCAAGTGGATTATGGACCTTAAACAGGCCCGGATTCCCTCACACCTTCAACCCAGAAGGGATCCTGGGAAGGGGTTTTTTTTATGGAATCTTGGCATTCTTGGTAATTTAGAATATCTGGGTACACACACACCAGCACCATCATTACAGATGAAGAAACTCGGTCCCTTGGTGCCAGACACTTGATAAAGGACACTCAGAGTCAGAGTGGATGCCAAGGAAAGCCCAGGGTCCCCTGACTCTGTGTCCTGAATGTATGTTTCCTCCTACACACCATTCCTCTGCCGCTGTCTTCTCCTGTCCTTCCACCTCTCCTAGAATCTCTGTTACCCACTAGCACGCCATCATCCACGAATTTCTCCTAACCTCTTCCTAACATTGTTTATACGATTTTGCTCCCTGCTGGGTAAGGGAGGACAGTCTGGGACATGTCCTTAAACTCCTTCCTGAGCCAGCTCCCTGGGGACCCTACCCACCAATGGAAGAAGTGGGGCTACTTGAGAACGGGTATAGTTTTATTAGCCAGGACGTTGGATACCAATCTCCGCAGGCTGAGGAACCTGGTGCCTGCCCCTTGCCCTTCTCTGGGCCTCAGCCTCCTTATCAGTGACTTTCATCCCCAGCTGTTCCTGGGGATGAAATGCACCCTTACGCTGGAGCCAGTAAGAACAATGCTAATACCGTATAAGGGCCGTTTATTGCATGCTTACTATGCGACTGGAATCATTCTAAGCACTTAACATTGTTCAGTCATTATGTTTTACACTCAAGATTCGCATGCAGACTTCGCAACAACCCAGTAAGGCAATGCTATTACGATTCTCCTTTTCTAGATAATAATACTGAAGTCCAGAGAGGTTAAGTCACTCGTCTAACATCACACAGCGAGTAAATGGCGGAGCTGGGATTCCAACCGAGGTCGGTATGACTACGCAGCCAGTCTCCGCTCTTACTCCCAGAGAGGGCGCTAGCTTGCGGAGGAAGGTGTACGTGGGACTCATTAGATCTAATTAGGACTAATTAAGAGCCTCCTTTCGGTGGGGAAGCCGACTCGGTACGGTTACGTGACATCACTCAGTAGCAGTGACATCGGACGAAGCGGGCGTGGGAATCCGTCCCCACTCCCTAGAGCAGCCGTTTAACGGCACCGCCCCGTGACCGCCTCACTTCCGCGTTTCATTTGCATATTCAGCAAACGGACGTCGGGACGCCAGCTTCGACGCGGTGACGTCAGGGAGCGCCTCTGCAGTTCCTCCCGAGCGTGCGTCCCTACGTACGCACGCACGGCCACGAGCGGGCGGGGGAGGAGTGGCGAGATCCGAGGCGCCCCGCCCAGTCAGCAAGGCTGCGCGTGCACCGTGCGACCGCCAAGATGGTGGTGGGCGCGTTCCCTATGGCGAAGCTGCTATATTTGGGCATCCGACAGGTCAGCAAGCCGCTTGCCAACCGCATTAAGGAGGCCGCCCGCCGAAGCGAGTTCTTCAAGACCTATATCTGCCTCCCGCCGGCTCAGCGTGAGTCTGACCCCAACCTTTCCTTTCTCCAACCCCTCTCAGGTGGTTGCTCAGGGGACGGACTTCTGTCTACGACCAATCACAGCCCGAACCGGCAAAGTCCTGTAGCCAATAGGGAGAGTTTCTGGGAGAGGGGCGTGCAGGTAGCCCAATAGTGAGGACGGGGCGTGGGGTAAGGGGCAGGGCAGAGCGCCAACGCGGGAGTTTGGAATACTATCCAATAGAGGAAGAGAGCGCATGGAGACTGACGTCCTGGCAAGCCAATAGTGTGGCGGACGGGAGAAATTTGGGCGAGGTTTTCCAGGACGGAGACTAGCTGGGGGCGGGGCTGAGGGACCGGACCGGGTCTTTTGCCAGGCCATTCTTGGGCGACTTCACTTCCATACTCTGTCATGTGCTTCAGTTTCCCTCCTGCCCTGGGCGGTGCGAGGTGCTTGTATATCATCCATTTAGGACATCGGTGTGCCTCAGTTTTACCCTGGGTAATAGGCCTGGGTCAGGGGCACGGTTCGGAGGTGAAGGCTGGGAGCTGGGGGCGTGGCCTCGGAATCAAGCCAAAGGGGAATTTTCACCAAAGTGGACATTCGTCTGTATATTCATTAAGGAACTCATACACCGTCCATTCCCCAGAGGGACTGTGCCGGCTTTTTGCGGGGCACTGGGAGACACTATCACTGTCAACCCAGAGTGGTCAGCAGTGGGAGCTCTGGAGCTCAGAGGAGCTGGCTGACTCAGGGACTGCCCGGGCTGAGATCTAAAGGGCATAGTAAATGCTCAAAATATCAGCTACTTTTAAAAGGTGATCTATGTGCTATAGACTTGTGGGAGCATAAAATAAGAGAATTTAATGTAATTTGCTAGGTCAGGGAACCATCATCCATCCATTACTTCATTTAGCTAGTATTTTGAGAACATCTGCTCTGTGCCAGGCTTTGTGCTGGCAGTGCTGGTGAAACAGCAGGGACCAAGCCAACCCCAGTCTGTGCCCCCAAGGAATTCGTAGTCCAGTGGGGACACACCTGTCCCCCAAAAGTGACCACCCACAGTGCGCAGAGCTGGCATAGGAGCTCCCCCTGGGCACCTGACCTGGCATGGGGTTCAGAGAGGGCTTCCTGGTAGAGGAGACATCTGAACTGGGACCTCAAGTATGAGGAGATTCTCACCAGACAACATGGGGACAGGGATGGTATTGCGGCAAAGGGAGGAGCATGTGCATCTTTCTCAGCGCTGTGACTTTGAGCGCTTAAAGTTTGTTCTCCAGGGCCTAGAATTCTTGGTCCTTTGGTGCTTGGTGTGGTCTTTTCCAGGGCTGAAGCTCTTAGAGTGGAAAAGTAGTGGATTTCAGTTACCAACATGCTTTCATGTCAGCTATCTCATTTGACCCTCACAACGGTTTTGTCCCCATGTCAGGAAAGGAGAATGACTTCCTCTGGTTTACAGAAGGGCAAACTGAAGCTTTGAGGGCAGAAGTGAATTGCTCATGGGGTTTGTGTCAGAGGCGGGACTTGGACTCTGGACTCCTACACATGGTCTGTTTCCTGCCACTGCCATTCTTCCAAACAACGTGACATGTCTTAGCATTATGGTTTAGAAAATAGCTTCTGGAGTCTGACAAGGGTTTGAATCCTGGCACCACCCCTGCCCAGGCTGATGACTTTGGGCAGGTCACTTAACCCCTCTGGGCCTCAGTTTCCTCTTCTGTACAATGGGTATTATACAGTAGCAGCATTAATTGGGCTCTTACTTTGTGCGAGGCCATGCGCTAAGTACTTCCCAGCCCTTATGACATTGAATCCTCACAAATTATTATGAAATCGATACTATTATTATTCCCATTTTATGTATAGACTATATATGAATTTATATATAAATAATACTTATTGTGTCATTATGAGGATTAAATGGATATAAAATGTTAAGTCAGTGCTTGGCAATGAGTCATGCCTATTTGTAGATGTTATGGATACAACAGAGAGGAATAAGCAAATAATCTTGCCCTGGATTCTCATGGGGAAGCCAGACAAATAAAATAAATAGTTAAAATATGAAGTATAAAGGAACCAGCAATCTGGCCTCTGCCTGCCTCTGTGAATAAAGTTTCAGGGTAATACAGCCACACCCATTTATTTAGAGGGTAATAATTACTCTGGACAAAAAATCAGGGATGCAGGATGAGGAGTGTTTGGGGGAAGCTTGTAAGTTTAGATAGGATCATCAGGGAGACCTCATTGACAACATGCAAAGGAGGGGAGGCGACAAGCAGTGTTGGTGTCTGGGGGAAGAGCATTCCAGCCCAAATGATCTGCATATGCAAAGGCCCTGAGGTAGGATGCACATTTGACCAGAAATTCATGGTGATGGGAAAGGGAGGCGGAACTGCAGGGTCTGAGGCCACTGCAAATGCTTTGGCTTTACTCTGAGTTGAGCAAGGCTCGTGGGAGGGTTCTGTACATAAGAGGCACAGGGTCTGAGTTATCTTTTATTTAATAATAGAATCCTTTTCAATCACAGGGTGAGGGTGGATGCGAGCAGGAGGCAGCTATTGTAGTCCAGAGAGGAAGTGACTGGGGAGAAGATGTCAGATTGTGGACATATTTTTTCCCTGAGCTTCTTTTTAAATATTCGAGCCCTCAGAAAAGTTGAAAGAATCATATAGTTATCCCTTAGATACCCTTTACCACCGACTCCATCAGTTATTTTTTACTTTTTCTTTCTGTTTTGTTTTTGTTAAAAGGAAAAGGTGAATACCCATCAGTTATTAACCTTCAACACATTTTCTTTGTTTCCACTCTTATTTGTTTTTT